TGAGTGCCCCAGTGGGGGATCGAGTACAGCCATCTCACGTAGCTCAGACGGCTGAGTCAGTCTGGGCTCTGCAGCCTCTCCCCAGCTCTGGGCTCCACTTTTCCCAGATTTAGCATCTACTACAGAACGTTCTTGTTCTCCAGTTTGGCAGATGCTTGACAGTGTCTTTAGTATCTTCCAGAATGCTGCAGGGCTGCCTGGAGGAGATTCCTCCCACTGTTTAGTTCAGAGACCCCCATGAGCTCGCTGGTCTTCTCAGGAACAGTTCAAGAGTGTGCCAGTGGCAAAGTTAGCGCTCTGGGAGCTGCCGTGCTGGCCAGATTAGCCAGGAGAGCCAGCCACCTACGAAAGCACCGCCATCTTCTCCCTGACAGGCCCAGTGGGCATGTGCCTCTCTCCTCCCTGAGCATGTGAGTGTTCTGGGTGTGATGATGACTTTTAATGACCTTGAGGGTTTCCGTGAGAAGAGAAAGGAGAGGGTTGGAACACATGGACACCCATGTCCGTGCTGGTGAGAGCAAGCAGGCCACACATCTCTCATCCCCTCAACCCCTGCATCTCTTCCTGACAGAGACAGCACGTGCCAGCTTCGTGGGGAGCAATCGGAACACCTACTGGTTTTGTGCTTTGTGTGTGTGCACGCAGCTTCGTGTGCGGATATGTGCACGCGCACACAGAGGACGGAGGTTAGGCGTGTGTTTCAGTTACTCTATCTTTTAAAAGGGTGAGTTCTATCGCTCAGGCACTAGCTATGCTGCATTCATTTTTGACTTGTGTGAGAGAGTTTGACTGTGTGTGTATCTGTGCATCATGTGTTTGTCTGGTGTGGGCGTGAGCTGTCATGTGAGTGCTGGGACTTGAACCTAGGATCTCTGCAGAAGCAGCCAGTGCTGTCAACCAGTGAGCCATTGCTCCAGCCCTTCCCACCTCACTGAACCTGGTGCTTGCAGTTTAGGCTGCCCTGGCTGGCTGTGGAGATGGGGGATCTGCCTATCTCTGCCTTCCTGGTGCCTGGGTTACACGTGCATGCTACCATGCCTGGTACTGGGTGTGAAAACTCAGACCTCCATGCTTGTGTGAAAAGCAACCAACAACCCACTCTGCCTCTGGGGCCCTAGCATTCATATACCCTCTGAAAAGTCCCCAGCATTCCAAACATCACACAACCACAGAAAGTATATGCAGCTGGCAAAATTATGCCCCCTTCAGAGCACAAGGCAAACCATAGTCAGCGGCTGCAAAGCAGGCCCACATCCCCACACCTGGGATTAAAATGAAAACATGCTCTTACAATATTTTTGTGTTTTTAAAGAAACCAAAATTCCAGAATTCTCACCACAAGGGCTTACATGTCTATATTGCTGTTTGTTGTCAAAGGAAGTCAGGAAAGGAACTCAACAGGGCAGGAACCTGGACAGGAGCTGAGGCAGAGGCCATGGAGGGGTGTGGCTTTCTGGCTTACTTCCCTGTGGCTTGCTCAGCTGCTTTCTTACAGAACCCAGGACCACCAGCTCAGGGATGGCATCATCCACAATGGATGAGGCGCTCCTCCATCAATCACTAATTAAGAAAATGCCATATAGCTGGATGTCATGGAGGTGTTTTCTCAGTGGAGGTTCCCTCCTTTCAGATGCCTCTAGATTGTGTCAAGTTGACACTGTTCAGCACATTGTGAGAGCTGTTTTATCACAGAATAGAGAAGCGAACTAAACATGTCACATGTGGTAGGATCTGGATACCCTGGGAGGAAAGACTCCTGGCTCCATGCCATCCAGCGCCATGTCCTGACTCATCACACGGCAGACTCCAGAGTCCTGATGGACCTCACTCAGCCATGGCAGCAGCTGCTCAAGAAGCTCTGGGAAGCTTCACTTCCCACCTGTATCTCTGAGGTCCCTAAGAGCTTGTTCAGATTCCCCTGATCCATCCTTGACCCAACTTGTCTTGGAAGCCATTTCATAAAGCCAAGACATTGTTAAGACATTCTGTAGTCTGTGAGGTCACAGTTCTGAGCAGGCACCTCTCTCATATGGAAGAGAGTAGGGGAGTGGTCAAGACTTCAGTCAGAGTTCTGCTGGCATTCATGGCGCGCCCCAGTCCTTTGGCCTGTAAATTCCTCCTTTTTAGATTGGTGGGAAGCCAGTGTGGTGTGTGTGTGTGTGTGTGTGTGTGTGTGTGTGTGTGTGTGTGTGTAGGATGCAAGTAGTTGTGGGGCTGTGTGGGCTAGTAGGGTGAGTTAAGATGGAGACACACCCAAGCTTGACCATGGTCCGGCACATAGAGGAAGCCTCTCCAGGGGTAGAGATCTTAGGGAGAGAGAAAGCCCAATCTTCAGTTCTTTCTTTAGGATAGATCAAGCTAGCTAAGTCTACTTACCAGCAAGGATTTCTCCTCAAGAACCCAGTGATTTTCCCTCCAGCAGATGGGGGCAGAATCAGATCTGGGCAGAGAATGAGGAGTGCAGGGAGCAGGTGGATCCGGTTCTCTGAAACTGACCAGGCAGCTGCTGAGGGCCCAGGGAGGCTGAGTAAGTGGCCTGGCTTATAGGAGGGTGCTTATTAGCTAATCCCACACTGCCCTCTGGGGTTTGCCTCAGTTGGCTAGGCTGGCACGCACGAGCTCTTGCAGGGAGCATCATTTTATGCTGAGATTTTGCTGGGCATTGTCTCACTAAAGAAAGCCCACAAATTCATGAACTTAGCTTTTGTTTACTTCATGGATTAAAACAGAGAGGCCCTGGCCCATTCAGGACGCCACTGATTTGGGGAAGCACAGCTCCCCAAAGGGGCAGAGGCTTTTCTGAAATGGATTCACAGTCGGTGTCACTTGGAAAGAGCCCCTGTGTCTTAGTTAGGGTTCCCATTGCTGTGATGAAATGCCATGGCCGAAAAGCAAGTTGGGGAGAGAAGGGTTTATGTGGCTTACACTTCCATATCACTGTCCATCACTGAAGGAAGTCAGGACAGGAACTCAAGCAGGACAGGAACCTGGAGGCAGGCGCTGATGCAGAGGACAGGGAGGGTGCTGCCTTACGCACTTGCTCAGGCTGCTTTCTTACAGATCCCAAGACCAGCCCAGGGATGGCAGTGCTCACCATGGGTTGGCCCTCCTACCTCAGCCACTCATGAAGAAGATGCCCCACAGGCTGGCTCATAGCCTGGCCTTCCTGAAGCATTTTCCCAGTGGAGGCTCCCTCCTCTCCAATGACCCTAAGTTGTGTCAGGTGACATAAAACTATACAGCACACCCTGAGACCTGGGATGGGATACACTCTCCTGGAAGCAGCATCCAGAGCCCTAGGAGATCAGGGGCCCAGGTGGTTTCCTAGACTCTGACACCCAGGAGACCAAGAGGCCAAGGTCTCAGCTTGGAATATGTCCAAGATTGATGCTGTACATGGATTTGACCCACCGTGGCCCTGCCAGGGAGAGAGAAGATGGCGGCCTCAGATAGCCAGGGTAGGCTCCAGATGCCTGCACAATATGTTAGAAGCCGGTGCCTGCAAGAAGGAGCACCAGTCTGAAACATGAGCTCACTGCAGAGTGGCCAGAGGAGAGAAACCAAGGTTCCAAACTGCTTCTTGTTGGATGAAGACTATGGAAATGGACATGGCTCCTAGCTGCCTAAAGAGTAAGGCTGGAGAGACAGCTCAGCGGTTCAGAGCACTTGTCTTAAAGAGGGCCAGACTCAGTTCCCAGAACCCACGCAGCAGCTCACAACTCCAGTTCCAGGGTATCTGATGCCCACTTCTAAGTCCTTTGAGCATGTAGTACATGGAAATACATGTAGACAAAGATTCATATTAAAAATGTTTAAAAATTTTAAAAGAAAAAGAAAAAAATTCTTGTAGTGTTCCAGGGAGATAGCTGAGCTGGCAGAGTATGCATCTAGGATGCACAAGGCCATGGATCCAATCCCCGGCACCAGCATAAACCAGGTGAGGTGGTACATGCCTGTAATCCCAGCACTTGGGAAGTGGAGGCAAGAGAATAAGGAGTTCAAGATTATCCTTGGCTACACAGCAACTCTAAGACCAGCTTGGGCTACATGAAACACTGTCAATCAATCAATGAAACTCTTCAGTCCAAAAGCTCACCTATGCTAGGGTATGGGATAGTGTTCTCTCTCTCTCTCTCTCTCTCTCTCTCTCTCTCTCTCTCTCTCGTCCTCAGAAGGGAAAGAAAAGAGGTCCACAGAAGCCATCCTTTAGGGCCTCTATGTCTGAAAATTATCTAGGGAGCTAAGCAGGCCAGAGCCAGCTCCTCACTGGAACTTGCCTCTCTCTTGCTATTTGCCTTTCCCGTCTGCAGGCTTCCTTCTCTCTACTTTGTGTTCTTAGACCACTCACTGCTGGAGAGGCATGGAGACAGTGGGTGGATTGGTGCCAGGAGAGATCTGGGAAGGCTGAGGACCACGGGTTGTGAAGGGACAGGGTGGGCCTCGAGTCCTGGGCTAGGTCTATGCACATGTGTACAGGTGTGTCTTTATCTGCACAAGCACACAAGCGCATGCAAGCCTGTGTTTTGAGTCTGTGTCATGCAATTTGAGTCGTTTTCTGTCTGGCTACAAACCCTGGGAATGTGGCCCATGTACGGCTGAAGCAGACACGCAGCTGACTCACAGCCAGTGAACAACTGGCTGTCCGGGGCAGGAGCTGCACACATGCCCTCCCGATGGCTCCACTGCCCCGGGCTGACCACCAGGCTGGGCCGCAGCGGGCTCGGTAGAAACAACCCATCTTTCTCCTCCCGATGGCTCCACTGCCCGGGGCTGACCACCAGGCTGGGCCGCAGCGGGCTCGGTAGAAACAACCTGTCTTTCGCCAAAAGGAAAATGGGTTGGGGAAAGTTACTGGGCGTCATTTTGGAGGCTGGTCCCCAAAGCTGGCAGTGGTTTTTCTTGCTATCGTTTGGTCCCCGGAGAGCCCCCGATTCACCCTTCCGGAAAAGGCAGTCCTGTTTGGATCAAAAAATAATTATCTGGGCTTTAAGTGAGGGTTTCAAGTACACATTTAATTTACACTGATTAACAGTCAGAGGCTCAGTAAACACCAGCTGAACATACCCCTTGTACCATTTAGAAGCACGGAGTGCAAAGCGATAGCGAAAACGCAATAAATACACCGTTTCCACAACTGGCAATTATATTAATAACACGCGGCACTTGTCTTAAAAATTCAAATTAATATGTGCATATCTGTGTCGCCATCCGCCATCGGCAACTTTTGATTTAGCATGTTACCAGGGAGTCTCCCCTTGCTTGCTCCGTGTCAAAGAAAACCACAGCTTCCCAAGCAATTAGGCTGATGAGGGAAATACAAAACGAAACCAGCCTCGGGATTCCTCTCGCTCCCACCGGCCTCGGCATCCCGAGCCCTTTTGTCTGTGAGTTTCTGATTTTAGAGTTGCAGGTCCCACTGGGCCCTACCACTGTTTGCCTCTGTGTGCCGCTGGGCTGTCACCGGGCCGGGTCGGTGATGAATCATTAGGATCTGCCTGACAGTCCACCACTGAGCCCCTAAATGGACTGTCGGGCTGTCACTGTGGGCTGGTGCACTCTCCCACGGAGTGGGGGCTGATGAGCACTCTGGGCAGGGGGAGTTCATACCAACCCGTCAATCTGGTGGGTGGGTGGCTTTAGGGACAGAGTGTGCACTTTCTGGTGGATGTTGACGAGTGTCAGAGGAATGGCTTCAAACTTCAGGGAGACAGATGCTGGAGTGTGGGGTGCGCTGACTCCGGGGTCCACCCTCTGCCCCTCTCAGCCTCCGGGCCGTGAGCTGGTCCACTTGGGCAGCTCACAGGGACGCCCTTCCTCTTTCCACTCCTCTGTGCCCCCGGATTCAACTGGATCCCCAGGTCTTCTGAACCCTTCAAAATGGGCAGATGAAGGAGCCTTGATACCCTGAAGAGAAAGGGAAGCAGAGCCCAGGTTAGGATGGCTGCAGATGAGGCCCACCCAGGGACCTAGCATTCAGAGACAGCATTATGGGAATTGCTGGGGAAATCTTTATGATTCACAGAGGGGAAACAAGTCTGGGCAAAAGAAGAGGAAACTAGGCCCTGGTAGTAAATAAAACAAGTAAAAGACCCAGATGAGGTCTTTGGTACCTGTGAGTGGATGGAGGCTTTTCGTTGGTCCGCTCCCCAGCCCGATCGATGGTCTTGGGCTCCTGGATAGTCCTGACCTCTTAGGAGGGGTCTAGATCTTTCCCTGCACCTCCCAAATCTGTGAGATGCTGCCAACCCCACTGAGCTCCTGAGGAAGGTCCCTGGAAGAGATGCCTTTGCAGGGAGAGTCCAGAGCCGACTTGATCCCTGCAGATACATTTTGTCGGCCAAGGCAGGTGTTGAAATCTGGGGCCCACACTCCTTTCTTGGAGGATTTTGAAAGAAAAGAAAATAGTAGGAATGAAAATGTAGGCTGCAGGGTTTGGCGGTGGCTGCCGAGGTGCCTGCTCCTGATTAGCGCTGTCTCTGGGCCCTGGGGATGCCTGTGTTATCACTGTTAGCCAGACTTGCTTGGTCCAGCCACTGTGGCAATACTCCTGATTCTGCCCAGCACCTTTCACCAGTCGTCTGTGTTCTCTCCCATGTGAGCGGCGGTTCTGTCTCGGGGGAGATGAGGGAGAGAACCGTTCCCCATCTCCATTGCCATCAGAGCCTTTGCAGTCACTGAGAAAACGAGATCCTTTCACATCACTCCCGTCCCCTACTTTGCAAAATGAGACTGTGTCTGAGGGAGCAAATGTTTTCTTTTAGTAACTAAAGTAAGGTGGTCGGAAGGCTTCGGATGTGGTAAAAGAACAGCCTGCCACTCCCCCTCCCTTCTCAAGGGGCTGATCTTGCTTTTTTCTTTCTCTGACCCCCACGGGCAGAAGCCATTCTCCATTACCCCGTCTTCCTTTTCAGAGCTGTTGGGTGTAATGGACTCCTTTAAATTAATAATGCGTAGAAGGAGATTTACAACACATTGCTCAAATATTGTCTTTGCCTTTTATTCATGCATTTGTCACTGTGGCCTCTAATCGAGGTGCACAGAGAAGGGATAAATAATGAAGAGAGAAAAGAGGTCTGTCACAATCCAGAGCCATTTGCAAATTCATCACCGATATTCCTGGGGAAGGAAGGACAGAGGCGATGACGAATACCCCGCCACGCTAATATATCTCCTTGATTTCTTCTCCCATTTATTTAGATAACCTACTTTGAGCTGTGATAGAATGAGGGAGGGTCCGGCCACCCCAAGCAACAGATGGCCCATTGCCGCTCCTGGGAGGCAGGCCCTGGCCCTGTGTTTGGCTGCGGCCCTTTGAATTTTGTTTGTTATCACTGATTTTAGGTGACTTTTGGGGGAGGTGATTCTGCCCAAGAGCCTGTAGCTTCTGTTTTCAAGGTTAGATTGTGTCAGTGTCTGTCATTCAAAAGGTGCCTTGGCTCAAACCGAAATCTGCACCTCCAAAGATAGACAAAATGCTTTTCTAGTTTGGGGAGATTGTGTGAGCTGGGGAAAGCTGAGCTGTGCGTCGAGTTCCTGCCCCTCTCTGTCTGTCTCTGTCTCAACTCACAGGAACTGGGAGAGGAAACATAATTCTGCTCCGAGGACTGTTTTTCTTTAGACCTGTTTAGAGAGGCCCTGTGCTCAGGCTCCAGGGAAGGACCCAGCATGCGGCTTCTTCCCAGCACTGTCTCAAAGTCAGACCCTAACCCGGAGCCTGACAGCAGGCTTGGTGTCTGCACTGGGAGGGGAACAAAAATCAGTTTTATGTGGGTCACCTCATCAACCATGTGGCTTCCAAAGCTCAAGGGTGGGCGTTAGCTTTTAGGGAGCCACCAGATGCCTTCAGCACACCAGCGGTTCCCATAAGTGTCAGGAGCAGGGAGCCAGAGGGATTATAAGGCCTGCCTACTGGACTTGCACACAGTACCTGGTGGTTCCAGTAAGCCTCTGGGCAGAGCTGGGAATAGGTAGGAGGCTCAGAGCTAGCTGTTACTGCCCCTTTTCCCAACAGAGAGGCCTCAGTACCCGCCTGCCATCCCACAGAGAGAGATGAGGAGTCACTGGACAGTGGCTGACCTGCAGGGAACCTATGCCCACTGGGGTGGCCAGACTGAGAAGAGACAAGTGCAGGGGCCCAGTCAAACCTGAATTTCAATAAACAGCTGATAGTCTTTTGGTACATGCATGTCTGGAATGCCACCTGCATGTTACTATGTTATGGGCCCCTGCTGCATTTTATTGTGCTTGTGGCATTCTGTCTGACTTCTTTCTCCCAGGCTTCAGGCACTCTTTAATCCCTCAGAGGCTGGGGCATGGTTCTTCTGATTTTCCTTCTTGCAAATGGACCGATGCAGGAGCTAGCTGCTGGGAAGAAGGGCCAAGACATAGAAAGGGATTGTAGATGAGAGGGTTAGGGTGGCCACACACAAGATGAGCAGAGTCTCTGGGCTGGTTGGGGTCACCCAATGCTGCCCCAAATTCTGAGGTTATCCCAGGACCCACCCCCGCCCTGCCAGTAGCCCCCTCCCACTACTCCAGAGGTAGGCGGGTCTACCCCAGCTTCAAGACTTCATTTTGTTCCCATTCTCACCTTTCCTTTGACATGAATGAAACTTACACATTATAAAAACATACACTATAGAAAAGTATACATTGTAGAAATAACGGATGAATTCTGACTGTAGTGAGCATAGGCATGTCCTGAAAGTTAAAGCCTTACATCCCATTATCTGGAGAGAACATCTGAAACACTTTTTGGTCTGTGTCTGTGTCTCTTACACACTCACAGGATGATTCCTTCTGAGACAGCATGGTGGCTTACTCTTCAGCTTGCCTGTCTTGCAGAAGCACACCGGCTCCCTGACTGGGACATCAGCTGTCATATGCTTGATGGACTTGTGTTCCTTGTAAACAAATTTCCCTGCAACGGGTGGGACATGGCAGCACCAAGGCTGAAATCGGCTCTAAACCAGCGAACTTGGCCAGCCTGGGCAGACACTGGCGAAGGACACCCAGCCAACTTCGAATTTCAGTAAACAGCCCATAATCTTTTGGTCCACGTATGTCCCAAACACAGCCTGGATGTTACTTTTTTATGGCACTTGTGTCGTTTCTTAATTCCCTTTGTGGTGTTCTGTCTGGCAGTGCTTCCCCCAAGTTCCAGGCCCTTCTTCAACCCCTCTGAGAGGAGAGTGCTTTGATCCCTTTCTCCTTGTAAACTGACTGTGGGTGGATCTTGCTGCTCAGAAGAGCTGGCCCTGGGCAGAAAAGGGCTTGCAGATTCCTGCAAGGAGCTGGTTTTCCCAAAGAGGTAATCAGCACTAACTGGGTCCTTAGAACTTATCTTGCGTTGAATATGTGGGTGATTATTTAAATTAGAGCCACTTAATTATTATTTTTTTAACATATTTTTCCACTTCGAATTTTAAAATTGGTATTTTTACATTGATCTCACAAGACCTGGAGAAAGCTATGATTTGTATATACTGAGTCTAAGGGAGGGTCCAACATTATGGAGGGAGAAGGGGCTGAGCTGAGGGCTTGTTGACTGTTTTCCTTTAAAAAGGCTAGAGAGTTAGTCCACCCGCAGCCGCAGCCGTTAGGGCAGCCACCCGGCCCTGCCAGGATATGGACTTGGCCCCTGGAGGCAGATGGGGAGACAGCTGTGGGAAGGAAGAGCTTTGTCTCTGTTTCGGCAGCTGTAAGCGACATGAATACAGCACTTTAAGCTCACAGAAATTCTGGAGTTGAGAAGCCTGAGGTCTTTGATCTGGCTCCTCCTGAGGCGTCTCTCCTTGGCTTGTAGATGGCTCATCCCCCCCCCCACCCCCATGCCTTCACAGGACTATCCCTGTGTATGTCTGCATCTTGGTCTCTTCTTATAAGGGCACATGTTGTTTTGGGTAAATCCCATCCTACTGGCCTCATTCTAGATCTTTAAATACCCCATTTCCAAACAACCACATTCTAAGGTGCTGGAGTCAGAATTTCACATGGGAACATGCAGTTGGCATATTTCTCACTACAGCAGAGGACCAGAGAGAGGCACTGCCAGGGGAGGCAGCTGGGGAAAGGTGTGATCACCAGAAATCAGGTCTTACACAAAATGCAGGATACGTGGGACTCCAGGAAGTAACCATGGCCACTTCCCTAGTGTCAGAATGTCCCACTCTTATGTGGACACGCTTGCCCAGCAATTCTCTGCTGTCTTTCACAATATCACAACCACTGGGGGTGGGGGTCTTGACACACTCCATCAGGATCATGCCTGGGGAGTTCTGTCCAAGGGCAGCTGCATGGCTACACTGTGGCACCAAGGAATAATGGGCCACTGGCACCCAGACACAGCAGTGAGACCTTAGGTCATTTGGGCAGTACAGAGAGAGAACACACAACCAGTGGCTGCCAGAGTCTTTTCCGGGGCAGTGTGGCCACCTCAGCTCCCCCAGGCTCCCAGGGTTGCAAGGTGCCCAGTGCAAACCAGTCCTGATGGCATGGCCAAGAATGCTATGTCCCCTGCTACCCTGCCTCCTACCCTCATTTATGAACTTGCCAGGCACTGCTGTGATGCCTACTGTGCGCAGAAGCCCCGACACTGCGGGGGTCACAGTAACTCTCTGACCTTCAGAGCTGCCCCTCCCACTCCTCCTTCCCGGGGAGGACCCTTGACCGGCCCTAAGTCTAGAGTCTCTGTCAGTGTCCTAGATTCGTATCAAACTGTAGCAGCATGATAATGATAATGATTATCCACCGTGATAATGATCTCTGCCCTGAGACAGCAAGCCAGAGGCCAGAGGAACGACCTGTTCGCTCTTCCCACTGCGTAGGTGAGTTCCCTTCCGACATGGACTTCCGAGAAGAGCAGCCAGGGCTCCTACACATAGATCCAGGGCCATAGACTCGCTAAGGGGCTGAGCGGGTACTGCTTGTCAGTCAAGAAGCCTCTGTGGGCCTGAGCCTTTCCCCTGCTCTACCACTGTCCATCTAGAGACCATAAAAGGCTCAGGAAAATACAGCCCAATGCTACCCCTCCCTGCTGTTCTTCCTCCTCCCTGAGAAGCCCAGAGGTAGGCAGGGAGTGAACTTTGCATTACTAAAAACAAGGCCCCCTCCTCAGGTCTTTACTGTTGGAGACACAGAGCTCCAGAGAGCAGCTGACAGGTGAGAGCACACACCAGCAAAGGAGACTGACACAGAATGTTCTGGCAGAGCAGAGCGGCGTTCAGAGGTTCTTAAAAAGTGGCAAAGGAGCACTCAGATCTTACCAGAAAACACACACAAGAACACACTTGCTTGGTGCGTCCGGAAAAGTTTACTTGAAACTTGGCCCCTGGATCCGGCGAGGGTTCTTTGTTTCCTGGTCACAGCCACACGGAGCACAAATCGAGGTGGTTTCCCACATCTTGTCAAAGAACGGCATTTCCTCTTTCCTTTCTCCTCGAGCTGATTAGCGGGTCGGGCAATGGTGTGAGAAGATGTTGGGGGTAGGAAAACGGGGGTCCTTTTGGAAACCCCCTTTGTGGATGGGTCGGGAATGGGGAGGAAATGAATAGTTATAAGCTCATTTCCATAGAAACTCTCTCATTATCATGCTGGCTGCCCGCTGGACGAGGCAGGGCTTCCTGCCAGCAAACAGGCTCCACAATTAAGTGTCCCCTGCCCGCTCGGCTGCAGGAGAAGCTGGTCACCAAAGATGGCCCCCGGCCGCAAACTCACCCAGGCCAGGAGGGAGCAGGGATGATTTTTCCTACACATCAGACATTTGTGCAAGGATTTTACCCACATGTAGAAATTTGCACGCGGCACTTCTTGTTTTTAGGTAGAAGCGGCCGAATCTCAGTCTTGTTTACAAGTTCCTCGGTATGCGCCTTCACACGTTTTTTTTTTTTTTTTTTTTTTTTTTCTGTATTCCCTGCTAGCAGATCTCCAGGCACCCCTAAAGACATTTAACAAAAGAAATGGGAACAATTAGGTTTAAAATCACTTCCTTGGCAGTGCCCTTTGTGTTCCGAGTGACATGGCCAGGCCGGCTCAGGAGGCACTTTGTCACGAGCCCCTGGAACACGAAGGGTGTCTGCCAGCTGCTTCCTTTCTGTGCCCCTGAGGCCTGGAGAACCCAGCCCACCCTGGACCTTCTTCATTTCTTGTGCGAAGTCACTTTGTGCAGTGTGACTGTGGCTGGAAGGGGGTCTGAACCCGGCCGGGTAGGAGGGTTACCCCTGGAGACCTCAGGGAAGCTTGCCTGTGATGTGAGAAACGGTTTTGTGTTTGCATTCTGGGAGGATGCTAGACATAGTATATGTTGATCCAGCTTCCTGTCAGCGCGCTCTTTGGTGGCATTGAATCTATCCTGTGGGTCCTGTGGCCGTCAGCACTCTATACCAGCGATTGTCTTATCACACAAGGTCACCGCCTTTAGCCTCTGTAGCCGTGGATCTGCTAGGACGATCACTTATTCCCCGTTCTGACCTCCTCAGGATTCTCTGTGGTTAGCAGCCTGCTCAGTGCCAGGTTCCTTTTTTCCTTTCTGCTCTGGTCCAGGCCATTGGCCTGCGAACACTGCCAGGCACCAGTCTTCATTAAGTGGTCCTTCCTCAGCTTTGTGAGGACCTGGTTAGGAAAATGACACTGTCTTCAGGAAGCAGGTCACTGAGGATCAACAGCAACCAGGCAGCTGAGTGGAAGGCAGTGGCTACGCTGGGTTAGAGAGGTTTGCTTTCAGGTAAATGCTGCTGTGCCTCCTCATTTATTCCTGTTATCCCTGCTTTGTAGAGAAGGAATGTGAGCAGTCAGAGAGCAAGGTTCGAAGATGAAGGGCCACCTCAGCCAGAGATCTTGAAAATAGGTATGTGTAGAAAGCTGTGACATGGTCCTGCCGTCGATGAGTCTTTCAACATCACTCTTCCCACCTGGGAGTCTCCAGGTGCAGCATGTAGACCTGCTGGGTTTGCATAAGCCACCAGGCCCCGGAACCCCTTATGCCTGGCATAGCAGTGCTCGTTAAAAGTTCTTACACAAACCCTGTCTACCAAGGTTGTGGGTGTATTGGTTTTCCAGGGCTGGATAAGCAAAGAGCCCAAACCAGGCATCTCGGGCAGAAGGAGTTTATCCTTTGGAGAGTCTAGAGTCTGAAGTGCAGGTTTTCCAAGTGGCTCAGAAGGCTCTGAACTTCCCTCTGTGTTCACACGGGGCACTTCCTTGGTGTGTGGGTCTGTTTCCCTGTGTATGATGGCACCGTCACATGGGTGAGGGCTCACCTTAGGAATCCACCCTCAGCTAAGAACTCAGTCCTGCCAGCATCCTGGTGGCCGATGGAGCTGGGGACAGAGAGCCACACATGAACTTGGGGAGCACTAGGACAAGGGGGCAAAAATGTTCACTAATATCCTAGTCCTCGAGTTCCCATGGTAGCCTCTGGGGACAGTGGCTAAGAGACCATCTGGCCACTATTTCCCTCTCCAGCCGTTTCTTCTGAGACATCACACTTGCCTGTAGACCCGAGACCCATGTCTCCTGTGAACTTCCACTGTGTGATTTATGCCCCGTTCAGACATCCAGCCAAGAGCTAAAGTGTAATGTGTGATAAAGACACCCATTCTGTTTTCATGGTTTTCTAAGATTTAAAAAAAATATTTAAAATAATTTTAGGTTGTCTGACGTTGGCAAACAATGTAGCAGGCAATCTGAGAAGACAAAGTTTTATAGACTAAAAGGTTTTGCCTCTTGTTCCTAATTTTTGGAAACATGATTGATGTCACTCTTCTGGGGGCAGGAAGGGACTGGCAGCTGGCAGGAGTGAGTTTCTTGCATTCTGAGTCGCAGGCCGGGCTGGGCTGGGTGAGAAGGGCTGAACTCTGCAGACTGGAGCTGCAGCCAGGCCCTTCAGCTGGGCTCTGTCTTAGCAATCCAGAAACGCTGCTGACCACAGAGCAAGCTCCAGGAGAAGTGTCCCTGGAAGGCCGCTCGGCCTGGCCTCGTGAGAGATTGCTCTGTAAGTGCCTGAGGCAGGCGAGCTGCCTGCAAGAGGCATGGTCAGGTGAGCTGACCCACAAGGGAATGAGGTCACAGTTTTGTTGTGGTCATGAGGCAGGGCTTGCATCAGGGGAGGAGGCTGCGTTGAATAAGGGGGTGGTGCTATAGTGGAGAGCAGAGCCCCAAGTGTGCCTCAACTTTCAGATAGGTACCCAGCTTCTAAAGGACGTGCTGAGCTGGGCAGGAACAGACAGACTCTCTCACGGGCAGACTCGTCCCCCACCTTGGCTGTGCTGGTGCCTGGTGGAGTCTCCTCTGCTCCGTTCTTCCCCACCGTGGTCACCATTCCTCTGCCATTGGTTGGTTCGTGCTTGACAGCTCACCCAGACACAGACAATTTGGATCAGTAACAAAGGCTCTGGGTGCCTCCTTTGTCTGGGCCTTCTGACATGACCGACCATGTGGCCAAATGCTTAAGGACGTATCAAGTTGAATGGGGGCTCAGGGAGGAGTCATTGTGGGTGTGGCTGGGTGAACACATCCCAGCCCTGAGCCTCTTTCTGCCTGGTCTGGACGACACAGGGGTTGACATGTGGGTGTCAACTCGCTTGTTTCCTGTTTGAGCGAAATTCATGAACTGCTGGGAAACCACAGATTTGAGGGTCGAGCTCTGCCCATCCCCTTTGGAGTAGCAGAGAAAATCAAACTGGTGCTAGCAGGTGACGAGAAACAGTCCAGAGCGCTGCTCAGAAGCTGTGGGCCTTCCTGTTGGGCTGGGGACAGTGGTGCCCGGGAGGCCCAGCGGGCACGGTGGGATAGGTGTGTTGGTCTTAGGAGCAGCACTCCAAGGTCTACGTATAGAAGATTCTAGAAACAGAATGGCCCCCAGGCACCGCAGGGAGTAGCTCAGATGTTGGAGAACTCAGCTTCTGTTATGCATGGCTGCTTCGGGCCCCATTAATCGGAGACTTCTTGGCCACTGCTGCTGCCCTGGGGTTAGACTCCTCTAGAGGCCTTAAAAGAAAGAACTGAGGGCCCCCAAGATAGCTCAGTGGGTAAAGGCACTTATTGCCAAGCCTCATGACTGAGTTCAATCTCTAGGACCTGCATGATGAAAGAAGAGAACCAACTCCTGAAAGAGGTCCTCTGGCCACCACACATATATAAATACGTGGAGAAACAAAGATACACAATTACTTTTTAATGTAATTAAAATAAAGAGATGTTTTCTTTTTCAAAAGAAAGAATTAAGGGGATAGAATTAAGAATTAAGGGGACAGTATCCATGCCCTGCTCCTGTCCTGCTGGCTCATTCTCCTGAACAACAGGGTACAAACCTCATGTGCCCCTCCAATTATTGGCACATTCTGCTGGTTGGAGAGACAGGTGGGTAGAAGCCAGTGCCAAGCCTGAGGCAGTCTTTCTGCCTCTTCGAGAAAACCCAAGATTGTCCCCTGTGAAGTGAAGCCGCCCCATGCCAGCACATCCTGGGCGCTGGCCAGATCACTGACCCAAGTGGAAGCTGCTTAGTCTCAAGGTGGTCTTGCTGCATAGACACCAGGAGGCCCAGCGACCTCAGGACCCTTGGACAAGTAGCTACAGCTGGATCCTGGAGTAAAGGTGCTTAGGCCTTAAACTAACTTCTGTTCTGCTCTTCCTGCCTCCTCTGGAGGGACTCCTGTGGAGAGCCGTGGTGCAGTCCAAACTGTGCCTTTAATAGCAAGGGCACAGTGGATGCTGGCCCACACTGAGGTTGCCACCACTGAGCTCGAGAGTGTCATGTCCAAGGCCAAAACCTCAGCTGAGGCATAAGCCCACCAGTTATTTGAGAATTTCTGAAGAAGATCCCAGCCAAGTCCATCCTCAGACTCAGCAAGTGTCTAAGTGCAAAGCTGCCCTCAGTTCCCTGGGAATCCAGATGTGAGACTTGAATTCAGGCCACCGACTAAGGGGAGAGGTAGGTGGCAGAGGAGTCAGTCAGAGTGCTGGCCACAGGAGCCATGCTCGTATTCTGGTATAGTCTGACTCTCCTGTCGAGAACCCCCGCAGGCAGAAGGGCCCCCCCCTTGCCACTCCGTAGGGCTCTGGGCTTGTCTCTGGTCCCCACTTGGCATTTCCCTGTTTGCTGGAAGCTGAGAACCAGCATCATACAAGTGAGCAAGTGGCTACTTCTAAAAGTCCTCCATGAAAGAGACAGGTGGAAAGAGACTTGTAAATTAGTAGCTAATGAGGAAAATTAGGAAGTTTGCTGAGGCATAAAAATGAAAAGTCGGGAGAAAGGAAGAGTGCGACCAGCATCCCCTCCCACCTCCTCAGGCCTTCAGACTCTGGTTCAGCCTGGGCTAAGGTACAAATCTGATGCCTGGGTTAGTTCAGAGAAATTGGTTTAGGATGTAGAGCTGATTATTCGGGTTAACGTGGAAAATATGGTAAACGTCCAGGATTGGGGCCAGGGTGGCGCTGGTGGGCGCAGTCACCTGACCTGCCTGTGAGAAGGGCTCCCTGGGCCCTGGAGGGCCCCAGCATGTTGGTGCCATCCAGCCAGGTTGGCGTC